ATCTGGTATAGAGTTATCGTTGCACTGAATACGAGTTTGCACCGTTGACAACGGCGTTGTGCTAGACACTAGACAGTAAACAAAGACAAGGACAAGGTCCGTGAATGTAAACGTTGGCTACATGTACCTCCTTGCTTTTTTCTTCTATTGCATAAAGCTTGTTGGCGAGCCAATTAAGCGATTAGCGACAACACGTTGGCGATAACACCTAAACACGTTGGCTATATCCTCGTCTTTCTTATTTATACAAGGAGCTCTGACTGAACTGATTCCTTTAGTCTCTTAAGTTTTTTTCTTCGTAAACGCCGTACAAACGTTTACCCGCTTCTGTTTAATAGTTGTTTATGCTTTATTGATCTGATACAAATCTGATGCAATTTTTCGCTCTTTGTACTGAGTATAGCCATCTATTCTGTGATGTAGCACCTTATACAGTCAATGAGAATGTATAATGAATACACGGTCTAAATAATATCGGCGGTATTAATGCATAACATCAATTTATATATTGTATTACTATTATTGCGTAGAATCTCAAAGATTTTCTCAATATTCATGTCTGAAATGTTTATATACTTGAAAACAACACTGTCTCGCTTCTGCCTGCACGTACTGTACCTCTGTATAATGAGTATGCCTAGTCTAGGACCTGTATATGAGTTTGTATGCGTTTCATTTAGCACAGGTAATCTCAACTGTTTTAGGGTAAAATGACCATGGCGGTCAACATGGCATATGTGCCAAAACCTGAATCCGGGACGAAAGTCCTGAAAATGACCCCGCCCTGAAACGGCAGTGTCGACATAGCTCTAACTTCAGAAAACAAAAAGCAATAGTCTTTCTGAAGTGCTTATAGTGTTTAGACGGGTTGCTTTTAGGGTGGTCATTGGAAGAAAAAATTTGTCTAAGTATAATATTTTACAAGAAAATGACCATGCACCACCCCAGGTAAATTGCTAATTATGCATAAAATAACTAATATGCCTGGCAGAAATTAAATATTCTTATTTCCTAAAAAAAATTATCATGGGGTTAAAAACTATGCTTAATTTAATGTAAATATTGTTGATTTCATAAGGATTGTCATTGTTTTCTTTAAATATAATACATTTTATTTCACTTACCCCCCACGAAAACACGATTTCAGCCATATTTTGCCGTCTTGTTTGCTTTTTATCGCCGAATCTCGCAAATATCATCCAGTTATTGTACTTTTACATAATCATAAATGGCTGAAGAAGATTTCAAAGAAGGTTTCATCCACTTTTGAAACAGTGCAGTGTATTTTATCTTCGATAATGTGTCCTTCGATATCTCGTCAAATTGCCGCCATTTTAATGGCTCGCCGCTTCTCTGCCCGATAAATACCACTTCTTCGTTTTCATATGTATTTAGATTACATTATCCAAGAGTACTTCATTGTAGAATAGTCCCAATCCAAAAATTGGAAATATTATTTGTACTTGGGAGGAAAAAACCTCCCATAATAGTTGTCCTGTCAGAATTCAAAAGAAGTAATTTAAAAGTCACGCGCAAGTTCGCGAAAACACCTCGTGGGTTACATAACGGGAGTGAATATTTTCACGAAACGTTTGTTCGCCACCACAGCAACCTAACTAATTGTATTATATTTTTTGTATTTTTATAATTGATGATAAAAGTACGCAAATATATTTTTTTTTCATAAATCACAAATATACAATAAATATAATGTACTTAGTTAGGTTGCTGTGGTGGCGAACAAACGTTTCGTGAAAATATTCACTTCCCCCTGTTATGTAACCCACGAGGTGTTTTCGCGAACTTGCGCGTGACTTTTAAATTACTTCTTTTGAATCTGACAGGACAACTATTATGGGAGGTTTTTTCCTCCCAAATACAAATAATATTTCCAATTTTTGGATTGGGACTATTCTACAATGAAGTACTCCTGGATAATCTAATCTAAATACATATGAAAACGAAGAAGTGGCATTTATCGGGCAGAGAAGCGGCGAGCCATTAAAATGGCGGCAATTTGATGAAATATCGAAGGACACAATATCGAAGATAAAATACACTGCACTGTTTCAAAAGTGGATGAAACCTTCTTTGAAATCTTCGTCAGCCATTTATGATTATGTAAAAGTACAACAACTGGATGATATTTGCGAGATTCGGCGATAAAAAGCAAACAAGACGGCAAAATATGGCTGAAATCGTGTTTTCGTGGGGGGTAAGTGAAATAAAATGTATTATATTTAAAGAAAACAATGACAATCCTTATGATATCAACAATATTTATATTAAATTAAGCATAGTTTTTCACCCCATGATAATTTTTTTTAGTCTTTTTAGGAAATAAGAATATTTCATTTCTGCCAGGCATATTAGTTATTTTATGCATAATTAGCAATTTACCTGGGGTGGTGCATGGTCATTTTCTTGTAAAATATTATACTTAGACAAATTTTTTCTTCCAATGACCACCCTAAAAGCAACCCTTCTAAACACTATAAGCACTTCAGAAAGACTATTGCTTTTTGTTTTCTGAAGTTAGAGCTATGTCGACACTGCCGTTTCAGGGCAGGGTCATTTTCAGGACTTTCGTCCCGGATTCAGGTTTTGGCACATGTGCCATGTTGACCGCCATGGTCATTTTACCCTAAAACAGTTGAGATTACCTGTGCTAAATGAAACGCATACAAACTCATATACAGGTCCTAGACTAGCCGTGAAAAAATCATATCGGCACTCAATTGAATGCCTAGAAGCAAGATTTTGACTCAATATTTACGTCTGAAATGTTTATGCACTTAACTGCACTGTCTAGGCGGTCTAGCTCCTTCCTAGCTCTGTATAATGAATCTACCGTCTAAATATTATCGGCACTTATTAAATTGAACGCCCGTAATGCATAAGATCAATTTATATATTGTGTAGATTTTCAAAGATTTACTCAATATTCACGTCTGAAATCTTTATATACTTGAAAACAACACTGTCTCGCTTCTGCCTACGTACTGTACCTCTGTATAATGAGAATACCGTGAAAATAATATCGGCACTTAAATGAATGTCTAGAATCAAGATATTCGACTCAATATTTACGTCTGAAATGTTTACACACTTGACTGCACTGTCTAGGCGGTCTAGCTCCTTCCTAGCTCTGTATAATGAATATACCGTCTAAATATTATCGGCACTTAATTGAACGCCCGTAATGCATAAGATCAATTTATATATTGCGTAGATTTTCAAAGATTTACTCAATATTCATGTCTGAAATCTTTATACATCTGAAAACAACACTGTCACCCCTTCCTAGCATATCGTCACGCCATCGTGATCTACGGCTTGATAGCGCATGCGCATTTGCGCTACTAAAAAAAAATCGGGTGTTCCGGGGTAAAGATCCTTTACACAACATGAGAAGCGAATGTTCTAAAATTTACAAAAAAATACAATAACGAAAGCGATTCCTCGAAATTTTTGTGAACTTGGCAAAAGGATAACAGAATATGTAAATAAGTTAACTGAAATTGCCTAAATAACCTTCAAAGTACTGACTAAGTACAATAAATCACTACGAATATAAATCGTATACACCCCCCGGAAAGTTTACTCTATGATTGACTGTTTGACTGACTGATTCGTGTGAATTCGCCAGCCATCACAATAGTGTGAAGTGAAACTTCACACTAAAAATGAGAATATCTGCGCACAAACTACCGGTTGAATCTGGCAGATATACCAAAACACCATACGAAGATCGGTTTTGTACCTTATGTCAATCGAGTGAAATTGGAGATGAATTTCATAGGCCGTTTGCTGTGGCAGAAAAATGTGCCTAGAAAACGATTTTCATTAAGCATGTCGTGGAACTGAAATATTTTTACATAACTTACCACTTTCGAACATGTGAATCCAAATCCAAAGACATCCCGCGCCGTAAACCCGCAGTATTTTTGCAAAATCCATGTATATTTCCAATACTTCAACAAAGTTTTGACAGGCTTCCGCCATTTTGAATGTCGTCCTCGATACATCCCATCACTCGAAAGAACGTTTATTCTGTCCCAATCCCCCGATTCGCGCCATTATTGTCATTTTGAATGATGCGATATAGGAAATAAGTGAGATAGAATAGTCATTAAGGGGGTTCCCAACAGTTTGTTGGAAGGAAATAAACCAGAATAATTCGCATTTCAACTAGTGGAGTAGTGGTCCGAAACGCGTGCTTGTCGCATGTTATGAGTGCGTTAGCACATCTGTTCTACGTACGAAAAATGCATTTCCAGGAAGGTCTAGTATTCATTGTCACTATTTTCACTTGAGCTGAAATCATCTTGCGAATCATAAGTGTCAGAATCACAATCAATGTCTTCCTTGTTTCCATTGTTGTTCTTGCAACCAACGCATTTACATAGATCTGAGCACTTCATGCAGTTCTGCTTTTACACACGAGCATCTTTTGGTTTCACAGCCTTTTTGACATTTGCAATTAACAAATTCGAGGAGTGATTCGGGAGCAGGGGCAATAGTCATCCACTTGACCAAAACGTTTCCAACATCATCTACTTCCCAACCGTACTCACAGAATGACGGCGGGTTCAAGACAGGTTGCACTGCATGTCTCCAGATATACATGTAACATTGATAGTTTGCTCGACTGATATGCTGATCAAGTGAATCCTGGTTCGGTGGCAAAAGTTCCTCATCATATTTTCCACTTTCAAAACGCTTGATATCGAACAGCATTGACGTCGGAACACTCTTCGAAACCATATAGGTGACATATGAATCTATACAATCCACTTTTTAGTTCAGCCGATGGTGCAATTTCTCTACCCATGACTCCAAAAAGATTTGCGTATTCCTCCTTCTTTTTCGCGATTTTCAGTGCCGTTACTTTGCCTTTGCCATAGAAAGCGCTCGTGGTATCAGAACCTGTAAAAACATAAGTGCTCTAAACCAATACCAGCAGACAATTTCAATAAATCGAAACATAATACGGATATTAACATCTCATTCTTGTCTTGTTTTAACTCATATCATGAATTTGAGGATGTTAATATTCGGCTTATGTTTCGTTTAATTACTAATGAACAAGCCTATGCTTTAAATACTGCAGAACAACAAATCCGTAATTGCATGTAGATCGATTAGCGAGCAACACCATTGATCTCCAAGACAATGCCTAATCTTGGTGACGGAAATATTCCGTCTTCCGGTTCCTACACCAGTTTCAAACATGATATCAGCATCAGTGCCTACGCAAGCGTTAAGTGCGATCAAAAGCACGTCTGTATCCGGACTCTTGATTATGATGGTGCGATATTCCAGAGAAGTATGCATTGTGTCCGCCTCTTCGTGGTCACAGTAAAGTTCTCCGATTTCAGAGCACATCATCTCCCCATTTGAATAAAAAAATCTGTGACAAATTTCTTCGTGTGCTAAAAATACCTCTACGCTCTTCAATAATTGCGGATCTGCCTTCCTCCAGGTACTAAAAATAAATTTCATCAATTCTTCTTTGTTATCACCTGAAGACATAAATTTCTTCCACTGACGAGGAACGTTTTGCTGCTCACTAAATATGCGTATCACCTGGACACCGCTCATGGCTCGTCTGACCCTCTCCCGATTCTTAATACTTTGACGTGGATATCGGTCGCCGACGAAATCCACCCGTTTGCATTTGGAAAAAATTGCAGCGTTGACGACCTTCGTAAGTAAATTGGTTGCAAGTTTGCCAAATGTTGCTGGAATGACAGTCAACGTTTGCAATACCGCCATTGCATCAAGAATGCATGCCTTATTTTCAACAGCCGGGAGGTCGACACAAGCA